TTTTGATTGAGAAAACTCTTATCATTACCCCGCTGACTGCATATGGAAGTTCCCAGGTATCCTTTATCTACATATCAGAAAGCTTGTATTGTTGATTTAATTTAAGTTATAAATTCGAAAGTTAGTGATCATTTATGGGTCAACGTCAAAGTTTCTTGAATAAGAAGTGAAGAGGGGAATACCCGTCCTTTACTAAGAATAATATCTTCGGCATTATTACGGATGATCGTGAGTGTTTTCATTTCTTGGCCAACATTTAATATTAAAAAAATATTGAGTTACACTGAAGGTGGAACCATGCAGAGCCTATGTTCTAAAATTATTGTATAAAACAACTGATAACTCAGGCCTCAATTAATAGATTACTTCGAAATTCTTAGCAGATAGGAGAATATTGCCGTCGATATCAATGTTCCGAAGTACCCATACAATTTGAGGTATCAAAAGCTTGGATGTCTAGATTGTCTATTGTGAATGGATTTGGTGACATAGATTTATACGCTCACTAGATGTGAATATTTTGAGTACATTGACCTTAACCAAATTGATAATCTTCAACGATGATTTAACTGTTTTTAAACACGATCTTAATATTCTGTAAACGATCATTTCAGGTATCTTTCAGAAGTTACAAAGTAGGGAACTTGAATAGCATTTGATAGAGATAGAATATGCTTTACCTGGTTGAGCGATGGGAATAACAATAGCCATTTTCAATTTGTCAGGAGAGTTTTGTCATGAGAACATATGAATATGTTCTTGAATAGGACTTCTTTACCTTTAATGTGAAGATTCTAAATAATGATATTGGAATCACCATCAGGTCGAGGTGTTGTTGCTTAGAGCTGTCGGCTTGTTCGATGAATTGATTTAATTTCATTCATTAGTTTTAATTGATACATTAAGCATATCTGGACGTGGTTTGATGCAGTTCCAATAGAATTATTCAATTTCATGACTAAATATTATATTTTTGAATTATAATTGGCCGAACTAAAATGGTTTGAAAAGTCTTAACTATAATGTTCGCAATAGTGGAAGAGTCATTAATAATACCATTATGCGATTCCATTATCTCACTGGGGACTTTATTACTATATTCATGATCCTAAGGTCATTTATTCCATTACTCCGACATGACACATCGATATTACATTAGCAATCCATTATTTGTTCGATTCTTTTACAATCCTAGCAAGGGTTTCCCGATTATTTTGTAAGCAACCTTATTATCATTGGAGCTTTTCTTCTTAAATCTATTAAAGACACATTTTGCTGATTTAATGTCTGACATTTATAGTTCCACCAAGGGACACTTCTTGTGATGCTTAATTTGATAAATGTCAATAGCTTGATGTGCATCTTGCATGATATTAGTAAAGTTCTCGACTACTTAATTGATGTTAGAAATTCATAAATATCTCATTAAACTGGACTATTGTTATGTCAGAATTGAAAATTTCTTGGAGCAAATATCGGTCCACTTTGTTGTAGTTCAGACTATTAATAAGAGGGAAGAATTTGTTGTAGAAGCTAAGGGTAGTAATACCGGTAATAATAACAAAATTGACGCTATCATGTAGAGTAGTGTCTTCAAGTACAATCCATGTGCATTTTTGAGGAAAATGTGTCGAGGCAATGAATAGATCAATCGCATCCGGTTTATGATTGATGAAATTGATAGGGGTGGACTCACCAGTGTTGAAAATGGCTGAGAATGAGTTTTTCACGAACGTTTCAAATAATATGGCCCATTTTTGAGTCTTTTATTAGTCTCGTATTGAGTGGTGCCTATTAAAATCACCGACAATCAATAATAGTTTTGGAAGGGAATCCGAGATTCAAGATTCTGAGAGAACCATCAAAAATAGGTTCACTAGACTTGTGAAGGCATTATGAACATTTACGTGAATCTGATATTGAATCCAGCACATAATAGTACTTTTCAGAATCTATGTCATACAGGAGTACCTACTTATCTCACTGCCAATAAAATGTAATAAACTTAGAATAGTTCTTAAAAATCAAGGAGATACGCTAAGACCAAGCCATTTTCCAGGAACAATTGTAATTGTTTGAATGTGGTGCAAACTTTGTAATCAATAAGGTGGTAAAGTTGGACTAAGCGTGTCTACCCAAGTTTTACCAGGATTATTGTTTTGTGGGTCTGATTCAACTCTTTCTATTTTTATTTTTTCCTTTTTTGATTATTTCTAATTATTGTCTTGATTTTTTTAATAGCATTAGTAAGTAGTTTCAAATAAGGAAAAATATTCTATTGGTAAGCTTCTTTTATGAAGAGGGGAATGCTCATGCTAATTGAAGAGGGTCAATGGGTAAATTTTGAACTTCATTTTTAGAGTTTGTATCTTTGTTCAAGGGGGCTCAGAATTGGATGATTAATATGAGGGGCAGCTTCTCTTGTTAAAAGGAGGGGTCTTCACAATCTATGTTAGGTGTTACAAGTACTTAATTACACAAGAAGCAGTTGTCTGTTGTACTCATAGTACTACCATTATTACTTCCTACTGCATTATTTGTAACTGGAATAGGAGTAGTTGTAGGCTTAGTTTGGGAATTGAATTGGGATTGTAGGCTTTGTTTGGGTACTGAATAACAATATGTCGTTCAGATTTACATTTAAACAAGTGATGTTATCAGTTTAAAATAAAATGTATATGACGTGTGTTGAAATTCAATCAACATATATGGAAGTAAATTACGAACTTCATCGGGTGAAATATCTGTCTTCTAATATTCAAAATACACCTCTGACATGTCTTATAAAAGAAATATTAAAAGAAGTTTTAAACTTTAGGTGATTAATAACTTTTTGACGTCTTCGTGTGAAGTAAAGTCAAACATTGCACATTATAACTCTTATGTGTTTAGTAAATAAGGGTCTAACATTTTCTTCAAGATCATTGAAAAGAAGTGTGTTGGTTTAATGTGGCGTTCCCCAAGAACACCAGGTACAGTACTTATCCAAGGCCTCCTGTAGGTATAAAGTGGAGCAACTCACCTGCCTAGCAAATCATTTAAAATAAACACTGTAAGAAACGGTTATTTATTTTATAGACATTCACAGTTGGAAAATATTTGGCGATATTAACAATTAAAGAATTTTCGAGAAACATTAATAAATATTATCTGCCCTAAAACTGTAGTTATTTAAATTTTAATTCAATAGAAAACATACGATACTCATATCGTAAAATCTATTACAATTCTCTATTGGTCATAAAATTGGACTTACCGGTCTCGTTTGAGATTTCTTCAATATCATATTGTAATTAGTTGATATCTTGCGATTGTTATTTCGCAAATAACTTTAACAGAAAACGAAAAAATCTAAATTGAATTAATTATTCGACGTTCGCTTTGGGTGACAGTAGTTACTGAGTAAATTAATATTTTAGAATATTTTCATGTCGATTTATCTTTTGTTTGATCGGAATGGGTCACTAGTGTATAGATAACGACATTTCTAAGAACAGAAACACGGGAAAACGTATCCCAAATTACTTGCAATGCTTGTCCTTTAAGTTATTGTTAGTTAGACATTGTTCATAATATCTAGCAGTTTCTGAAAATATTTTTGAAGACAAAATATAATGAAGTACTGAAGGAAATTGAATGTGGCATTGAACATAAAAAGTATTAATTTTGCAACAGACAACCGTTTGCGAAAATTCAAGCACTATACCACATAAATATGCTAGTTAGTTTATGCTTGCACGTGTTTTATTCAAATAGCGCAACATCGAAGACAACTAATTAGTATTTTTGATGGTAAAGTTAAGAGAGCAGCACTTTTTATGTGTTGGTCAAAAATGATAATTAGATAATCGACGTGATAGTTTTATTTAAGAAAATTCTTTAAATATCTATATAAAGTACAGTGCTGATTTAAAATAATTTCACTGCATTTGTACAATACTGGACACATTCGTATATTAAATTAACAGAAAAATGCCTATATTTACATGTATTAAGTACATTAATCATAATTAATACTGCTTTACTAAGCTTTCTCTCCATTCCTTTTTGTGAACTATTTTCGCTTTACCTCAACAATGTACGGTCGTTCATAATGTAAGGTAATTCTTAATGCAGCATTTATTACCCCATTTATTTTAATGAGGAAATAAATATGTATACAAAGTTTCTGGCTCGAATTCGTGATGTCTAAGTGAAGAAGTTGCTGCAGAATATGTAGTATATCAGTTTTTTAATCAAATCTGGTTATTTCAACGCTTTAAATCACTTACATAATTATGTTTCATTAAGAAACGCATTACGTACCTGTCTTCATGTCTTTTTCCGTATATCCAGCATGTTTAAATTACACTTTATAGTCGTGAGGGAGAAATACACTGAATTTAATAATAAATGCACATTTATTTTCATTATTTTTAAATGAAGATTATAACTAAATTTTCTAAATATTTTACTTTCGAAAAGGGAAAAGTATTGTAAAGATATGTTTTACGAATTACATCTTATGTGACGAGAATTGTCTTTTCACCGACGTTTATTCTGAATAAGAACTTCACTAGTTTAGTACTACCTACAAGTTCTCTAGTTATTATCAGTTATAATTATATTCTTACATCTAAAATTTCAATAAACAACATGCAATTCAATGTAGTGATGACATTGGATTTAAAAAATAGTAGATAATATCTTACCTTATCCTTGTTTATGTGCTTGACATTTTTCTGGGCTTCTTATATCCATTCGTAAAGAAAATACATGAATATGAAAAACAAAATACATACCGTTTTCAATTTCTCAAGCGTCAGCAAGGTAGGTGAGAAATAAAATTTACGGTTTTAACGTCAAAATTGGAGTTATCGTGTTAATGACAATGTGTTTCTGAGGTTATTTACAGATATTACGATTACATTAGAAATCAAGAAAATAACCAAAGAAGTATTCACATATTGGGAATTGGACAAAGGAATGATTTTCAAACCGTGAGAAATGAAACCACAGAATTGCTCCTTTGGATGACTTTAATACTCAAGAGGAAGAGCAGTCAAAATACTTTACTCTCGGAGCCAGAAGGCCTCTCCGGACTCTGTCCACTACATACACCACAACACAATGGTACACAGTTGGTCACACTCGGGTTGGGCGGAAGCACTGTACGGCTGGAAGACGAACGTTTTGTCGTTCTGCCACCGGGAAAATTCACACACCGCCTCTGACTCGCAGCAGGAAGGAAGAGTCGCGCAATTAAATAATACTTAATACAACACAGAACAAAACATCTGCGAACAGTTCGAGAGGCACTAGAGGAAACACACTTGCACATTTCGGCGGACAGTGAACTTAAAAAGGAAAGAAGAATCCTTCTTTTTTCATCTCTTTTTTACTTCTAAACATGGCACAGAAACGGATGTATCTTACATCTAACACTGACACAAACTTCAGCTTCATTGAATGGCGCACCGATCGCGTAAATAAATAATTTGTTCCAAAGATTTTCTTTTCCTACGGAATTAATATATTACAGGCTTCTAGCACAAAACATTAGTCTACATTTAGCTCTGCTATGTACAGCGGCCAGTGGGCCGGGTGACTAGCGTCAGCGTATCTTCTCTCACGCCCACAGTCAGTTCTTTTTTATAAATATTACAATGATCCCTGTTCTGGTAATAATTACAATAATTACTGTAGCAATAAACAGTTAGTTGAATGATGAAGTTGTTGGCGCTAGTATACACATACCTACAGCTATACAAAAAAAAAGGTATCAGTCTTGAAGCAAGAACAGAGGGCGAGATCGCCCGGCGTGTTCATCACAATCGTCTCTCCATCTCACGCGCGCGCACACACACACACTCGCAGGCTCACACTGGGCGCTGTCTATTGGCACGTGTGGATGGTCTTCCGCACGTGGCACGTCTTGCACTTGACCTCGCAGCACCAGTGGAAGGTGCAGTGGCAGCGCTCCACCAGCATCACCTCCTGCGAGCGGTGGCCGCGGCCGCAGCACATGAGGTCGCAGCCGTCCAGCCCCAGCGACGTCTCGTTGCACTCGCGGCCGTGCGTGCCCTGGATGCCCTGGCGCGGGTTGCGCTCGCAGAAGTTGGGCGACTGGTCGAGGTACACGAGGTCCTTGCGGCCCGGCGGCTTGTGCTGCGCGTCGTACGGCTGCAGCTGGAAGTTGTAGCGGTTGCCCTTGCCCTTGCCCGCGCCGGGGCCCCTGGGGGACCCCGCGTTGCCCACCAGCACGCGCGACGCGCCGTCGAAGCGGTCCTTGAGGTTGTCGCCCACCACGCGGAAATGCGGCAGGCGCATCCAGCACGTCTTCACCGTGCACGAGCCGGACATGCCGTGGCACTTGCACTCCTTCCGCATCTCCTCGCGCACGTGCTGCAACACGACCAGGACGCACATGAGCAACACATGCCCAACACAGAACCACATTAAAGGCATTCGTACTACCATCTCGCATTAACACTAGCGGGAAAATGGATGTCATTAAGGAGACAGCATATCATGAAGGCAGCTTCCGCTGCCCGGGTCAAGCGACGGCTCTCGACTGTCTGGGTGACGCCGCTTCGAAGGCTTCGAAACCAATATATGGGAGTCCTAATATTCTTCAGGGTAGAAGTAACTGCCACCCCTGATGAAGACCACAACAAGTGCTCGAAAAGTCGCCAGCATCGAACACTTTGACGCAGGGTCACCCAGACAGTCGTGAGCATTCGCAATGGATCATATAGCCACTTAAGTTTAAATTGTTATAATTATGTGCCCTGAACGATTGCATCGTATATTCTTTATTCCATAAATACTTTTTTGGAGTCCGTGAAGAGTTTTTCTCGGACTAGCAGTCTGTCATTCAAGAATAATCAGGAATTTTGGAGGGGAAATTATTACTTAGTGTAGTAGAATAGGAACATTGTTGTCAAGTCTTAAAGTAGTGGAAAAGAAGAATTAAAAACCAAATAAATGTAGATAAGAATTGATGTCTAAATAAAATTTGAAAAAAGAAAAGAAAACGATAATGTCAGGAAGATAATAATTAAGACCCACATTGGCGATCAAGGACATTTTCTCACAAAAAATAAAACCTCCAAACAGCGTGAGAGCACACTGTACTGTGAAATTATGTTCAATAGAGTTCCAAAATGTGCCAAATATTGAAAATGACGTAAAGCTAAAACCAAGGACGTTATGTTATTGTACATATGCGATTCACCGGACATCGACATAGCGATCGATATATACCGCCTCGTAAGACAGATGAATCACAATTTATGGTGTAAGAAATATCGAATAACAAAAGAGAGACACTTTTTGAGATGCACCGCCCTGATTAGGGCATTTTGTATGTATAGTTAATTACTGATTTTAATTTAATGAGTGGAATAGACCAAGTAATTCCCATGGAACCGACGGTAACGCGCGGGAACATGAGCGCCGCGTCGCTAGCTCCGTCGCGTCGTTAGAAGCGCAGCCTCCCGCGGCGACAGCGGCGTTCGCGCGCGTGCGTGTCGGGGAGGGCGCGCCCGCGCGGCGTTCGCTCCGTGTTAACGAGGCCAGGCGCCGGGGTTAATTGGCGAGGTGTCGCTGCGGACGCCGGAGACGCATCCGGCAGAGCCGGCGACCACGCCTCCACCCCGCCCCCACCCCGCCTCGCACCGTCGCCCTCGAACACCTGCTCTCCCGTCGTAGCCGCCGCCATTGCCATAACCTCTCCCCTCCGTCGCCACTGACGCTATCCCCGCCACCCGTGCTTCCTCCCATCCGCCTCCGCCGACACCAGCCGCTCCTACTCCACTCCTCCCTGGGGCTCTCTCGTCACTATCGCATTTTTGCCCTTTTTATCTCTGCCACCCTCGCTTACTAACGCCTTCTCTCTCTATCTCTCTGTGTCTCTGTGTCTCTCTGTCTCTGTGTCTCTCTGTCTCTGTGTCTCTCTGTCTCTGTGTCTCTGTGTCTCTCTGTCTCTGTGTCTCTCTGTCTCTCTGTGTCTCTCTGTGTCTCTCTGTGTCTCTCTGTGTCTCTCTGTGTCTCTCTGTCGCTCTGTGTCTCTCTGTGTCTCTCTGTCGCTCTGTGTCTCTCTGTCGCTCTGTGTCTCTCTGTGTCTATCTGTCTATCTATCTCTCTGTATCACTCCCTCCCATCGTCCTCCCTCCCTGTTGCCTTTTCTCCGCCTCTCCCTTCCTCCTTGACGGTCTTCCGTGCCCTCACTCTCTGCCGCCTTGCCGCTATGTCCCCCTTCCGCCGGACTCCGCGCCGTCCGCTGCGATTGTCCCTCGCTGGAGCCCGCGGTGACGGTGATTCCTCCGCGCCGCCTCGAGCGCCGCGGGCGTCGCCCCCGCAGTCGCCTCGCCAGCCAAGCCAATTAGGCCCCGCGCCGCGCGCAGATCGCTTCTCGCGGGAGGGGTCGCCAGCGCCGGGACTGATACGCGCACGCGGCAATTGCGCTTCGGTGGAATAACGGCAGGGGACGCCTCGTATCGTTCCTCCCGCACTTGCTAGGATTCTGCTTATTCAAAAATGAAAATGTATACATGAAACGAAACGTATATATTAACTTTTTTATTGTTTTTCTATGTTTACAAAAAACCTGTGTACTGAATTAATTAACAAGTTCATTTTTGTGATAACGGAAACGAGAATTCGTAGTTCTTTCGTTCCATTTCTCTTTTCCTACTCATTAGTACACGGCGGTTCACTGCATTAATGTAGACAATTTTTTTTAACTGAGTCGTCTACCGTAACATGTGCCCTAGGTTCCGTACCACGGCCGCGCCCTTCCCTTTCCTTTTGCTCCGCGCCGGTTTGCTCTGCGGCCCGCCCACGCGCCTCCTCCGTGGCTCGAGCGTTAATCGGCCCTTTTAGCAGGGCGGCAGGGCGGGGGCAGGATCGCCCGAGTGTCACTGGGCCGTTTTTTGTGCGGGCACGCGCCGCCACGCGACACCGGCCGCGCCCCCTGCCGCCGCCGCCGCCGCCGCCCGCGACGGCGATGAGCCGCCTCGGGGAGGCCGTCGCGGCACTCGCGCCGCCGCCGCCGTCGCCGTCGCCTGTCGCCCCCGAAATCGATTAGCTCGGGTGTCCAACGTCTGTGACTGCGGCTCGCCTAATTGGAGCACGCGGGCCGTGACTGCTTCAATTGATGCAATTTATTTTGTTGCTTTGTCCCTTGATTCAAGTTCAACGGGGCTTTTCTACGACGATTAGAATGGAGTCGCTCGATGTTGTTCGTTTCGATAGAATATTCTAATTGAGAATTGATCCGTTCGTAAGTTTACTACTATGTTTCTATACAACAAACTGTTAAGAATATCTTAAAAAATAAAAATGCGCGAAAAAAATTACTTCTAAATAGAAGTAATTGTTGTTATTTTGAATTATTGCTCGTAGTCATTCGTATAATACAGACATTTTCATCACATTTCTTACACTTACATGAAAATAGGAAAAGGGAACTTTCATTTCTGAAATATTTGTCATATTTGGAAGGAAATTCGGAAAATAATTACAGCCACATTTCTTGCCAAATATTTACAGCCTTTTCTAAACAATTGAATACCCATTTGCAACGCGAGTACATTTTGTTGCGTTGACTTTACTCAAATTATATATGTCTAAAAGTTAACACATATTTACTTTACCTGGCACTTCTAAAAACCACGTGGAGTGAATAGCAGCGTGTTTCATTGACTGATTAGTAATTCGGGTGCGTCAAATTCTAAGGTCATCAGTCCCTTATATGGCTTTCAGGATTTTCCCCAACCAGGTATCTTCCGTCGGTACAGAGGTACACCGGAACAAGCTGTAAGCTCCCCTTTGAACTTCCGACAAGTTTCGTAGTGTAGTACATGTAAGTGTGTGTCTAGACTGGTGCAGCGTAGCTATGAAACTAGTGTAGAAAATTCTGACACCATCGGAAAACCCTAGGCCCTCGGAAAACCCTAGACCGGTCACAGGCACTGCCGTGACATGCGTTGATGCCCTGAACGACATACTCCTGAAGAAGCTCTGTGCATTTCATAACACAAGCAGCTAACATCCGCCGCAAAGAAGCGGCCGAGCTGCGAGGTGGGACGCGGTACAGGACGCGATGCGGGACGCGGTGCGGGACGCGTGGGGCCGGGGACAGCCCTGCTTTAATCGATTAACTCGTCGCCAGCCGGGGCGGCGCGGCGCTGGGCGCTGCGTCGGCGGCCGCGGCAGCGCCTTCATCTAACGCGCATCGGTTCCGCAGCCTTCGCGGCGGCTCTTCGTTTGCGTAACAACCGCTCGATTTCACAGCGGCCGCTCGCTCGCCCGCCGCCTCGCACGGCCGACGACGACGCAGTAAATAGATTGTTAAGCGCGCAAAAAGGGGCGCGGAACCAAACGCGCCATGGGGGACGGCCCGGGCCCGGCCGGCCTGCCAGGCAGAGGAGAGGAGAGAGCGCTCCCAGAAGACAGTGGAAGGAGGACGAAAAGAGAGCACTTCGGAAGGCGGTAGCGGGTGTGGAAAAGGCTGAAAAGTTGACGTAATCAACTGATGGGAACGAAATGAAACGAGAAGAAATAGATGGAAGAAGAAAAGGAAATGGAGTTACGCTGGATAAATAAAGGAGATGGGAAAGAGTGGGAGGGATTGACGAAGATAATTTATAAAATTTCTAAAGGCTATGCAGTTGATAGACATATTAGTACCTGATTCTAGAGGGATAGAAAATCTTAGACATATAGAGAAGAAGATACAAGTAATTGGGCCAAATATTGATGTACTCGTACTAACTAGAATTATGAATGTAATTATGATATGGAAGGAAAAAGTTGAGTCACAAAAAGGTAACAAGATTTATAATAGCACACCACCAGCTTGCTGGCATCAAGTACTCATGAAGGATAACCAACTCTTGAAATAAAGTGCAAAAATGTCAAAGTAATTCAGTTTTAGATACAGAGAGATAATATTCAAGGATATATATGGCGGGATGTAAATGTAACCGAGGATGAGCATACAAAAAACATACAACTAGTCAACAGACGGTGGGCTGAACGAGCAGAAGTAAAGTCGACGAGAGGACGAGCACTGAGAGAAGACACCCAGGAAAAAAGCCATCCCGCTTTCATGCATCAATGGCTCATTCCTGGAGAGAAGCGGAGTGTGGCGGGGCGTGCAAAAGCAAGACGTTGCGTCGATTTTCACTGCTCGTCGCCGACCCTGAGGGCGCTCAAGCTTGGACCGATTTCTCTACGGACGGCCACCGGAAAATTTCGTTTACAAACAACACGTTTTTCCTATCAAAAGAACATTTAACCTGTAGAAGGCAATGGTGTGAACGACTTTGTAAAGAGAATCTCTGTTTCTTGTAAAGACTGTTCGAGGAATTGCTTGCTCGGATCAAGTATGTAGCATAAAAATACAAAGAACAAAGTGATTTTAATACTTTGCACAGTGATGACGTTTTACTAGTTTTCAATGCGTCGGTGTAAATAGCATTTCTGTTCGCTAATTTGATAACAGCAATCAGTACATTGTCTTTCGACTGAGCAATACTATGTAACTGTTCTATCAATAGTTCATATTTTATATATCTATATATTGTGTCAAAACAGTACTAGTATAAATATCTGGGTGACGTATATTCGAAAATCAAGACCGACCATTTCAACGTTTTTTCTAAGTATTAAAAGACGATAGATGAAAGCTCAGTGATGAAAAGGTTTGAAATTCAAATAAAGCTTGTGTCGATGGGCATTGTTTCAAGGAATCTGAGATGAAAAGGCGTCTACAGAATGGTATCAATATATTTCACAAATCAGCTGTTTGCAGCCTACATTAAATAACTATTTGTTGTCTAAAGTTACTAGAAGGGTTTCAATTACGATTTTCCCGAATGCAGGTTTTTGAAAAAGAAGAGCACAAAGGACATCAAAGTATGAAACTTTTCTCTCACAGTACCAATGGTTGAATTATGTAGTGTTATCATTAAGAGAAAAATTGTCATAATCAAACCCACAGATATACAACGTGTCATGCAGAATATTTTGCAAATGACAATTTTTTACATCTGTTCTGAACAAAAAAGTATCGCCAAGAGTAATTCGGCTGTTAAAAAGAGTATTTTAAATTTTAACTGCAATCCTGTAGGTCAATGTCATACCTTGAAGTAAACAAGGATATTAATGAAATGAGGATGTGGGATTTTTTAGTGTTTCTATCCGCATACATTACGTAAAAATGAATGTTCTTTTGTTTTCTTATAAATCATGATATATTAATTTTTAATGAAAGGATAATTTAACAGGATGTAGTTAGCACTAAACTCATTAGGAGCCTTGTCAGGGTGAAAGATTATCAAACCTACAAATGTTTTTCTACGACATAAATCGAATATAGAGAAAGCTGTACCTCAGCGTTGAAATCAGCGAATATGTACACTTATTCAGCAGAGAGAGAGGGGGGGGATATTCAGCCATTCAAGTATTTTAATTCTTGAAGTACTGAATGCCTATTTCAAGGATATAGTAGAGTGAAATAGCGTTTATGTGCTAAATATCTTTTCTAATTTTCCCACCCATGAACATTAAATAAAATTAATGTACCCTGTATATTTAAAAAAAATATTTTCTTGTACTACGTCTACTTGGACATTGCTGCATTTTCCAGCGCACGACACTCACCAGGCGCCCGGCCTCGTTGTTGTGCAGGTTCATCTTCTCCCGCAGAGTGCGCCCTCGCTCTCCCGTGTCCACGAAGTCTCTCGAGAACTTGAATCCGTATTCGATGTTGTCGGAGCAGCCACCCCACTCCCAGTCGGGCTTCTTGCCGCCGCCCCCGCCGCCGCCACGGCCGCCAGCCACGCGACCCGCGTGCCGGTAGTCGCACGTGCACGACTGGATGGAGCCCTCGGCGCACGCGCGTGCGATGGCGTGCGTCACGCCCGCACTCGTGATGGCGTAGATGAACGCGGTCTCTCGGCATCCTGCAACACACAAAGCCAATAGTACCATTAACGCGTGTTTATTAGTTAGTATATGAACATCATATAATAATACATGTGTATAATAGACATGCTGTCTGTGTAATACATAACACGCATGCCCTATGTGTATATTACGCATGCTGCGTTAACTCTGCGACAACACCATAGACCTCTACAGTATCGTTCACCGGAAGGTCATGAGTTCGAGTCCCAACGGTGGCGGATTTTCGACGCTTTTTTCCTGGCTGGAAACAATCCAACAATTGTAGGTACCTACAATTCAACCAATGTTTTCATTAGAAGCTGCCTCCTCTTGGTAGTTTTCTGTGGGTTGTCCGGTCAATACCAGGTGAATGCCGGAGCAGTACGTTAACAAATGGATTATGGACCTCGCCGTATCTTTTCTTCCTCTGCCTTGTCCCCGTCCTCTCCCCCTTATACATGCACCACCTTTGCCTGGTTCAGTGGGGTTTCAGTACAAAATTATTTTCATATTTTAAAACATACGGGTTAAAAAGTGCGGCAAGATTGGGTTAGTCCACCTATAGTAGAAATAATATAGAAAGTAATTATTTTTGTTGTTTTTTATGAGCTCATGATGATAAAATGAAAGCAATAGTTTTTGTCTTATGAATGAAAAGATAAAAGAGTATTAAGAAAAGAAAAGCTCATGAACATAGGAAACTAGTTCGCGTAGTGTACTGCATCTAAATAGAACACTAAAACATCTGCGTCTGTAAACATTCGGCGAGCAGCGAACGTGTACGACATGGCAACGCGCTCCTTCAAGAGAAGTGAATGCATATGCTAATCAGAGCGATCAGTAGCAGATCCTTTTCACAAGTCTGAAGACAGTCCTTGACTAGTGATGAACTGCGCTCTCTCCCCTGCCACACAGAAAGTGTTGACAGTAGTTTGTCAATACGATTGAACACTCTTTACCATACGGCGGAGCAATGATGGAATTAAATACTAATTTCCACAACTCAGGGTGAAAAGATAGAGGGATCTTGACGTAATAGAATCGGATCACATTTGAAATCAATAGTTCCCTTTATGTTCGTGACATTAACAATTTACTGAATCTTTGAAACAGTAATTTGAAATTACCAAAATCAGAGTAAAAAAGCATTCCCTTTGTGACGAATCATCCACATAAATTAATATATTTATTAGTAATAATTACATCTATTTTATTCTCTCCCAACATTGCTGGACAGTTGAAGGTTGGGAGATGGGAGCGTCTCAAAATATGTCCCTTCTGTTCGTTTTGAATATCAATATTTTCACAATAAGATCGCTGGCAGTTTCGAACCAGTTAGTTACGAGATACCAAAACGCGTGGACCTCCGCGTGAAGGCAGGACACAGAACAAAACATCCATGCCCAGAAAGGGCCTAAGAAACACGACCCTTCAGGCCCAGACGCCGGGCATGAGTTCATGCGAAACCCACCTTGGCCACCCGGACCGACAGGATCAAATTACTCATGAAAATATTGATATTCAAAAGAAAAGGAAGGGAAATCTTTTGAGACGCTCCCATCGCCCAACCTCCAACGTCCCGCATTTCCTTTGTGCGTCGCCCGCAAGCGCAATCCTTTAGGATTGTACAACGTTTTCTCCGCGGGAGCACGTCTGGGGGCATTGAGCTGCATCCGGATAAGGGCGGGGCCCTCCGCATCCGATCGAACCCCCGGGCGATCGCTGTGGGAGCGCGACACGCCCTCCAACCTCCGCGGTTCTCAGAGCGCCCTTTCATCCCCGGGGTACGCCCCGAGCACCCACGCGCCCATGCAGCCGTCCATCACGGCGGCACACACGCCGCTCGCACGCACGCGCGCGCGCGCGTCTCCGCTCGGACACCGGAAGCGCCCGCGATCGGGTTACGCCAGTTCCAGCGCCCGCCGCACAGCTGCGCTCGCGGCGCCCGCCCCGGTCACGCACCACCTGCCTCGCCGTTCACGGCGGATGGCGGGCGAACCGGCGCCCCTCCTTTTTTATCTTTCTTTTTTTACGGTATTTTATGTTTTCTCTTGCGTTTTTTTTTCTTCTCCTTTGTGCGTGCGTACGCGGGTGCGTCAAAGAAGCTGCAATTAGGGAAATGGGATGGTCGTTGGTGGGGATCAAAGCCCGGACGATGGCGGGAGATGCGAGAGGAGAACGGCCACTCGCGGGGGTTCCCCTTTATGCGTTGTGGAGCGATGTGGCGGCGCTGACCTCCGCGGCCGGCAGGCTGCCTTTGCAGCGCCCACGTGGTGCGGGTGCGGGTGTGGGTGTGGGAGAGCGCGCGAGGGTGCGTGGTGGCTATTCATGATTAATGTGAATGAGCTACCTGTGGGGACGATCCGGGTTGCTTGGTGGGCTGCGGGCGCTGACCACACAGGGCTGCGGTTTCGGTCTGGCTAATGGAGTAGTAGGTGTTTTCATCACAAGTGTGTGTGTGTGTGTGTGTGACAGGAAAGCAAAGAGAAACCACTATGGCAACCGTCAAAGCGTCATTTACTCATCGACGAGTTTTGGTAAAAACGAGGGAACAGTAAATATCCAATGTGACAAATTACAGGACATAAAGTAAAGAACCTTTCTGTATATATCATTATACGTGCATACGAGTGGGTCCCCAGACTCAGCTAAAATTTAATGACCTTTATTTATATTTTTATTTATTTTCGCCAAAGGTTGCCAATTTGAAATCTGCACTTGAATTACAAACATTTGAAACTATAAAGATAAAGACATATTAGTAATTTCTGAAATAATTTTTATTGAGTAGAACAAGTATTTTTATTCTAGAATTTACTTCAAAAATTTAATATTTTCCAAAAGAAAAATAAGTGCAAAATAGTATTTCTATAGTTTTTTCATTTGTTCGATTGATGAATTCCCTAGAGTGTACGAGTCCAAAAATATGTTAATGCTCTTGATTTGTAACACTCGGTAACAAATAAACCCGTTTAATATGTAATGTACGATACCATTACATACTATTAATACCATTATTGGTAGGATCTACTTACATTTCAGTAAAGAAATGCAATCAACAAAATACGGATCAGACTGGAAGAAACGTAGGGTCAAAGTACGAGTAAATTTGACAAAGTTCAGAAACATTGTGTTCATTGATTACGTGTGACGAATGCTTCTATTTGAGCTCACGGAATCTCTCGACACTGCCGTTCATCATTCATTTCTGTCATTCATGGCAATACACACATGCATCGCCAAAACACGTGCATGACACCAACCGCGAAGCAAGCAATTTGGCACAAGGCGCGTCTTTGTGCAGAACACTGAAGAACAAATGTTTGCGGTGCGACTCGGAGGTACCTGAAACCGGTCTCCGCTAATAAGTAAGTCCTCGTGCACTCGTCCCCGCCCACGCAGCCCCGCGAGGCGACTGCGCTCCCGCACCGGATGCACAGGGCGCCGCCCTGCGCCCACCCCGCCGCACACCCGGATTCGGGCTGCTCGCGCGCTGGGAACGCGAACAGTGCGGGCGACGACGACCCGGAGCGACAGAGCAGACAGATTCATTTTCGTCTCTGGGAACAGAGGTTCACGTGTCGGGGGTTTCTTCGCAATACATATCTCATTTCCCTTGCTTCTCCATCGTTCTACGGGTTTAATTATAAAATGGCTCTCATCTATCCATCAATTTTTTTCAGTCAGGTTCAGGACATCCCATACTTTAAGCGGTTTTGAATAAATGCTTTATTGTTGACCTAACTTCAAGAATCAGTTTCACTAACGAATTACAAGATAAAAATTGAATTATTTTTCAATCTATTTTCTTTTAAGATGTATTTCAAAATGTTGAGGGAATTAGATAAAACTAACCGTTCTAAAATAAAACCTTGGGGTACACCTCAGATTTTTCTTCCTTGGAAGCGTCGTGGTTTCTTTTTTCATGGGCGTTTGTGAGTTCAAGTATTACGCTCAATGAGGCCCCATGAATGATCATATCAGTAGATAATAGCGATAATTGATGATGCAGCATTGGCGGAATGAGAGACAAGAGGGAACGATGCCCCTAAAAATCTTACTAAAACTCGCGTTGTCAACCACAATCTCTACACGGATTGCTCGGGAATCAAATCCGAGTCTCAGCGGTGGGAGGCGTAGCGCCAGTCACTGGCCACGGATCCCAAGGCGACGCAGCGCGTCCTTAGGAACCCCCTGGCGCGCGGGGGCGGCGGGGCGCGCCGCGTGGGCCGGCTGCTGACGGCGCCTGAGACGGAGTGCAGCGGCGTTTATTTGCGGTGGGCTGTGGGGCGGGCGGGGGCGGGCGTTGATATCCCCGGCGTGGCCGGGCTGCGATCTGGCGGCGGGCGGCGTCCGGCGGGGCTGGGATGGACGACGCCGACGACGGCGCCCCAGAGTGCGGTTTATTCCGGCGGGCGCGAAATAGTCGGCTTAAATGCTGCGTTCGTTGCTAGTATTTGAAGGGGACCGCGGGGCCTTGCCGCGGCTCGGCTCAGGTACGGTGCCGCGCCGGCCGCGCGCCGCAGTTTCGCAACGGCACCTGGTCCGCGCCGGGAGCGATTCCGCAGCTCTTGCTTCCGTCGGCCTGAGCTGTTTTAGGATGCTTCGCGCGACATTATATTCCGAGTAGTTGTGGTTTCCTTTCTACCCTTTTCTTCTTCTTGTTCTTCGTCTACTTCTTCTTCTTCTTCTTCTTCAAAATATCAATTTCATATACCTTTTTAATCATAGTTTTTCCGTCCGTTTCATTTTTCTATGAAACACCATTATTATTATTTTTATTAAACATTATTTGCCTCTGCGTTTACAATAGATATGGCTAATTATCTTCCGATATCGAATAATCACGTTTATAGGATAGTTATGTATATAACGATATGATCAGTGACGGGCATTTTCTAATGAGTACGACAAGATACTTTCGTGCGCGCACCCAGCGAAGCATACACATACATAATTTTGGGATTATTCTCAGTTTGTGAAACGACAGCCTCAAAGATTCAAGTTGCCTCGGTGCTTTGTTTACTTACAGCATTCCTTTTTTTGGACTTTTTTTACAATCAATAAACAGTGAAGACAAGTACTCGTTTCCATGTTTTGGTAGAGAATATGCATTTGGCGTAATAAAGAGTGTAGTCCTTTTCACGTAATAGGGATTGTGTGAATTCGCCTGTTGGTACAAGTTGATCTACTTCAATAATTGTTTTCCAATTTTTTACATCTACATAAATAATTAATGATGCCATTTCATTTTTCCCACTACTTACTTCATTTCTTTTTCTTATTTCAGTGATTTTATTCTAATATTAGTGCATTGCTTCATTTCTCGAAACAACAAATTCCAATATTCCTGATAAATCTAATTTATATTATTTTTATAAGGGTACTTAATCTTTTCTGTTTTATTATTTTGTTTCAATTCGTTTCTGTTTTGTTGGTAATCTTCTCTTATTTTCATTTGTTTGTTTCTCTGATCACTCCTAATGTCCGTGGACTTAGGGCATATTTGGTGACGTTGTGAACACAGATTTTTATACAAGATAAAGGGTGTTCAGAATTATAAAAGAAAACAAATGAAGAAAATAACAAAGCAATAAAATATAAAATGATACACAGTAGTTAAAAATTTAGTCTATGTCATTTTCTCATAACTGTATCCTTATCATTACATATTAATTGTTTAAATATTTGTTTATTCTCTTTTTTCCTTGCAGTTTGTTTCATTAATGTTGGCGGCAATGAAGGGGAATATACAGCCCGGTAGTGACTCTTGAAAGACGTTTATTTTTAATTTCTCTCACATTCTGTGTATTTACGTCCAACGTTTGTTGATTTTGCTTCTTAACAAATATCGTTCAGTCTTCTTTCATATTAACAAAATTGAGATGACTTTTTTATTAATTGAGCCATTGTTATTTTTTTTAATTATTTACTTCTTTATTTCTTATCAAAAACAAAATATGTCCCAACGAATCTGAAATACAAACTCTAGTGATTAAAACTTGTGGAGATTGCTCTTACATTTCATTCGTCACACCCATTTTTTAAATAATGTTAAATAAATAAATTAAAAAGTTAAATCAAAAGTATTTATATCACACAAATACTCATTTTATTTTATATTTTTATTAGTCTTATTCGTTTTTTTGTGTAATGTTCGCGCATCTATCGTGTTTACGTTCCTTAAACCGTCCGTCTCCAAGAACATATGTTAAACATCAGTAATAACTGTACCGGTTGATCCTGGGCACAGCTTCTTCTACAGTGTACGCGCATATGAGTCAAGAAACAATTTGTCTCTGTCGAGAGGTATTGATTCTTCCAGACGATAACCCAACGCGTCCTTATATGCGCGATAACTCGTTCCATCGCCTCGTCCAGCAACCCGCCGTCCGTCCGTCACTTGTTATTCCACAGCGCAGCTAACGGAAGTTCGTCGCTTGTTTGATCATCTTGTTTCCCAACTCGGGCTTACATCTCGATGGCTTTTTACGTGTTATGGCTGCGTGACACGTGAAGAGTCGGGTGAGGGCCACTTGGAGGTTTATTTAGTAGCAGCCGGTTGGACGGCTGGTTCGCATCGCGGTCTGGCGCTTCGAGGAATCGCCACGCTGCTCGGCGGCCGACAGCGACAGCGCGGCTAACAATCGCGCGCGAACAAAAGACGCGAGCCGCGCCACAAACACAGCCGTCGCGCGGACACATCGCACTCTGCTAACCTAAATTTCCTTGTCAAAAGTTGACGAAGACTGACTTTCCCAGTTGGGTTTTCGTGGCTGGGATTGTGTACGCTCGTAGCTCCTTTGCGTAAATGTGCTCGAGTAAGTCTGCTCGTGGAAGACTAAAAAGTAATAACAGCTACTGCAAACAATGCGTTTTTGTTGCCAGAGATACATTGTTCGTTTAGTGTTCCTTTCTATTTAAATCACGATAAAAATGTTTCAATTTCTAGTATTATTCTACTAATGGTGAGTCACACTACATTTAATTGCCAATGGTTGACGAAGACTGCTTACAAGTGTCAGACATTATTTTAGGAAAGAACTCATGTACATTTCTTAATGAATGTAAATTATTTACAGTCTAAATTTATGAAATACATGAAGATTGTTGTAGTAACTCTGTAGGAGGATTTCAGAAAGCAAAAGTGCGAAAACAAAATTGACGAGGAGAATCGAAGAAAATAAATAAGAATGCAATGTGCGATTAGAGCCTAGATTGAAGTATCAAGAAAGGGGAAAATATTAGATAATGAAGCGTAAACCACAGCATATGGCAAACGCGTGATGAAAAAATTCAGTGTACCTGTAGACATCTTGGAAGCAGAAAACTCAATAAGGCAAACGGCTGGAAGCAAACACGGTCTGGAACAAATTGCGTGCATGTCAAGAAGACGCAAGCGTGCAGGCGGGCGGCTGCGACAAGAGTGCCCGCGTAACAGGAGAAGAACGCACTGAGTTACAGCGCATGCGTGAGCACAGATGCACGGACGTGCAGCGAGGGTGGCGTGCTGGACGCACTGTGGTCCAGAAAGACAAAAAGGTCGAAAATATATTCCTTCAATAAAATTAAACTACAGGCGTGAAATCGCAAACGATTCCTACAGTCGATTTCCTACAATAGATATTGAGCGACTTGTTAAAGACATTAATAAACCATTTTTTGCGATAGCAAGTCAGCCCTACTCCAAGCCCTGAAGATGGGAATGGGAAGAAATTGAGGGAGAAATACTTGAGCCTGGTCTGAGCTCATTGTTAAAGTATATCACATTTAAACATCTCTCATACTAATTTCCAATGATCACAGAGACAATTTTGCTGTTGCAAGCCACTAGAATTGTATTATTAGTCCATTACGAGTACTAAATTGGGAAATTCGTGTCAGTGATAGTATTACAACAGATCATTATTACACATTTCAAATAAGATATTCAAGTCTCATTTTACTGAGAAATAACGTTGAATTTCTTATGTTTTAGAGATCGTGGGTAAATAAGGAATCGAATGAGGCCTTGAAAGTGTTATTGTTTCTTCTTATTAATTCCAGACTCTTTGCCGAAGCAGTAACACAAATACGCAAATACTACTTCATTCCTCATTATTATAATGTATAAGTATAATGTATTTTTCAAAAGTTAATTTGAATATAGTAAAGCGAGAAATTACGTAAGTTATTTGCAATACAATACGATATGTGTGTTCACATTTTCATAATTCAATAAACGTTGTAATATTGCTTCTAGTAAAAGGAATAATTAAAAAATATTTTTCAATTAAAATAACATGTTTCGGAAAATATAATGCAACTATTAGTCACGGCGGACAAGTGTGTTTTTATAACTATAACATTATCAACACTGAGAACTGGAAGCAAAAACTCATTGAATTTATCAAGGTAGAGCTTCTAAAATATTCCATGTCTTGAGAATAATCGAACCAATAATAGCGAAATAACATGGAATGATGCGAAACAAGAATCGGAACCATTGTTCTTTTCATGTATGTTGGAATCTTAAATTTTTAAAATCTTTTTTTAATTTTTTATCTTCTTTTCACGGCATTGAAAATAATCGTTTTGAAAAAGAAAATTTCCTCTCACTTTGCATATTTTATACCAGTCTTTTAAAAAAATAATTTTCGCCCGCCTTTCGCTTGTTTCAAAGCAGCGTGCGTGGGCGCGCGGAATTGAGTGAACAGTTGCGTGACGGCGACGCGAGCGCCCAGCGGCCTGGCGGCACAGACCGGCGACGCGCAGAGCGACTGAAGCAGAAAGCGGCTTCGAGCAGGCAGCGACGTCGTGTCATTGCCCATGTTCTACATCAGGCGTGCTCAACCTTCAGGAATTCACGGGGCGGTTTGGAAATTTGGAACGCGACGTGGGCCATACGATACGCGAGCGAGACAAAAGGTAGTTTCGTTTGACCGTTTAGAAACTTGACATTGTCGATATTACTGTCGATTTTTGTGTTTCTGGGTATGTAAACCGCTATGATAAGTATTCCCATAAGTCTAGTGTATGTTATGGTCAGAGGTGTCGGCGTTCCTCCCCCGTTGCAACGTAAGATCCTGTGCCTACCTACACGTCAGATAACAGGGTTGATATGATAAAGATGATCCTCCAGTCGACGATGATGACAATAATGATGACGATGATAAACCAATTGAAAGCTATTCATTATTTAAATAAATATAAAATGTTTGTGAAGATGTTATATTGTTCTTACCCTAACACCCCACCAGTATATCAATACAGTGCGAGTGTTTGACGTATCTGAAGATATCCCGTGTGAAGTGTGTGCCTATGGAGACTTTTTTCAAAAATCATGAGTAGTCGTATTTATTATGCGATGTAGTATGTGTGGAACCCTGACGTGGAAAGGCATATGCATGTACACAAAGCTGCTTTATGACCTTTGGAGTCAAAAGACTGGGGATTCCCCGTGATGTGTTACGGCGAATGAAGCGTCTCTGTCTTACATTGACGACATCTCGAAGGATGGAGGGAGAATTTGAGCTATTGCTCATGAAAGTAAATATTATTTTGCTTCCCTCCTCCACCTCTTACCTTTCCCTTGAAGCATCCCTCAAGTGGACTGATATTGTTAAACACCATTTTAACATGCAAACATTGGACAGAATGATTCAGTTGTTGTATTTATTTCCAACAAATTCGTTCCCCTTTTCCTCGGTAAAGGCATGGTTATCCACAGAAAGCCTGTTTCACACTTGTTTACTGTAGACACAGCTTGTGTCCCATCAAAACTCTATGTACTTCGCTGCTTCTGTCACATACTGGTTGCTACAGTGAGTGATAGTAATGACGCTGATTCTTGATGCACTCGTAGGTGAACGTGGCTTAACTCAATTCATTTTCGTGCTTAACTCATGTAATTTTGTTTTGTTACATTGTAATGATATCATTTTGTTATTTCTTTGGCGATTAATCAAATCATATTAGAATGTGATCAAGATCATATAATCTCTTCATTTCCTTTAATGTTAATCTCAACTCGCCATCACTAAGCAGGAAAGGGAAACAATATTTCTGGAAGAGGGCGAAGAAGAATTTGAATATGCGAGTGCGTAATTTTCAAAACTTAGATTGCTTCATTAGTTATTCATAACTTCACAAATAGTAAAACATAGTAGATGATGACGAAATTTTACCTACAATGTTTCTTAGTAGAAGTCTTAATGACTTGCATGTGCAATTTATTACCTTTAATTAAATCCAGTGTACATATTAATCACTTGCTCTGCAAGTAAGTCGTTGTGCAGTCGCCAACGCAATACCAAGTTTCAGCGACTACAATTTATGCTATAGATAGTTAGCAGATATTTCTAACTTGCACTTCTTTTTATAATCATCAAAGCAGCTGGTGACTTTTTTTTTGGTTCATTTTATCCTATCATCGAGAAGCAAATCTAAAGAGCGGTGAAGTTGTAATTCTCGAGGCCGCATTTGTGGCCGTATTCGCCGTACATCTCGGCTTTCGTTTCTGCTCGATTTACCGACCGCCGAGGGCAAATATACGAGCGCGAACATCCGCACAAACGTGCCGTTCACACGCCTTGGCAAATGCACTCGCGTAACGAATGGGCGACGCGGCCCCGTGCCGGCGCAGGGCGGCCCCGCGAGCGGCGACGCCAGGCCTGCCAACGCGCGCCGCCCAAAAGCTCCTCAGCGGGGGAGGTTGGAGCGCTCTTTCAAAGGTACCAAATTCATCTTTCCACAGACGATACTAGTTTAATGAAACTTTCACCTGTTATACATACGATTCTAAAGGTTTAAATTAAAACAGTGATTTAAGATTTTTGTTTAATTGACATATACCATCCAAAAATAAGTACACTGGATAGTATTCTAGTTTATTTACAGCTTTATTTCAACAAAAGGTTTTATACATATAATTTTAAAACGAATTAATATTTATATACACGCCTCTAAATTAAATGCCCTCAAGTTCAGATACTACTGTTTTATGTAAAGTTTCCTAAAGTTTGTTACTGTTTTTTTAGTTAAATGTTTTCGCCTTGGATGTTAGAATGTAGTAGGAAAAGAAATTTCATTTTTGTTTTTCTACAGGAATCGTTCGCTAAAAGTACGTGGATCAGTATATTACTATTGCAAAGCATTTTGCCATGAAAAAGAAAAAATACTGTTGCTAACTTGATTATCTATATTCCATAGATGCAGGACTGAGCACATTGTAGGCACATTGGGTGGAAACTTTAACCAAACTCAGTACGCTGTAAAACATATGACGGGTTAGTTGGGGTTACATGAACAAAGACCGCGTGCATTTGCACTTGCGATGAGAGATTTGCAAGATCTTCATTCAGTGTGGAAATCTTCCTGGCAATTGGGCAACGCAAGGTCGTTCTACCGTACTAAAAGCAATGCCTAAAGCTGATGGATTCAATACAACAAAAGAGATGCCATGAAACCACCTGGCTTCATTCACTCGCCAAGGGAGCAGTCTCTTATCTTAAGAATTATGCTTAAAGAATCTTTTTCTACAGGGCGATCTCCAGCTTCTAAACTTTTTCAGGCGTATCTAAGATGGGTGATGATGTTTATT